ATGAAAACACTAATGCCAAATGCAGTAAACAAAGAAAAAATTACTTTTAAAAATGTTATATAATTTTCAATTAATTAACATTTCTTGCTCTGTCAGTGCAACACGAATGTACATACATACATATGTAGATACATATGTACATAGATGTGCACATACATATGTATCTATGGACATTCACATATTAGTGTCTCACATTTTGCTTTGGCTATTTCAATCGTTTGCACGCAACTACACGAACAGCTGCTTGCATGTGTGTGTGTGTATGTATACTTAGTTGTCCCCAACTGTTTGATATTTTGTATTGTTTGTTCTGCCTGCTTTTGTAAAATGCATATTTTGAAAATCCTTGAATGCAAAGTTGTAGATTTAGTTACGTAGATTACATTATCCAAATTTTAAATCGATCGGACTAAATTTATAACACAAACTTTTCATTTGAAATAGTGAATAAATATTAAAACCCCAATAATTCAAGCTCCAACACAAATTTCGAGTATGCAGTTTTGTTTGTATTCTTTAATTGATTTTAGAAACTAAGTTTTAAGTCGATCGGTTGAAAAATGCGATTTTTTCAAACAAACTTTGGAGCTACTTTTCCCCCCTTTGGAGCTCGAATTTTCCAAAATCCCTTCTTAGTCCGCATCTACACCCTGATAGGATCCCAAATTTTAGCTTTCTAGCTCTTATTGTTTGGGCTGTGGGCTGTTTCCTTTTTGCCCCAACATTTTTTTTACAGGAAAACTCCCATATTTTAGGCCTTAAAAAAAAATATCAAGAAACCAAGTATACAGTTTTTCTTGGAATTGTTCTGAGAGTATACAAACTAAGTTTAAAGTTAATCAGATGAAAACTGTAGATTTTTCATACAAACGATGGAGCCTGTTTTCCCCCTTTGGAGCTCGAGTTTTCCAAAATCCCTTCTTAGTGGGGACCTAGACTATGAAAAGATACTTGAGTCCAAATTTCAGCTTCCTAGCCTTTACCGTTTGGGCTGTGCGTTGATCACCAATCAGTCAGTCAGTCAATCAGGACAAACTGTTTTATATATATATAGATGTATATCCTGGCGAATTGAAGATCTATATAATCCTCATAATGGAATTGAAGTCGCGCCAACGAAGATTAAAGCTGGGTGTTGAGCTGCGACTGGGACGGCAAGTGGTCGTCGACGGGTGACGTAATATGCTACTTTAAGCTTTAATTGTCCATTTCATCCCTGGCCATTCCATTGAAATACGAAACATCGTTGACTGGGCAAATGGCTTTTACTGAATGCTGTCTGGGAAGATCCGAGCGCCTCCCAGTCGAATTAGGACTGGTCGTAGAAAGCTTGTAGATATTGCGTGGTTCACAAATTATATTCCACGTTTAATTAGCAATAGTAGCTTTTAGGTTGTTGTGCTTTCCGAACCGTGTCTAGCACTTTTTCAAGGAATATCACCAATTTCAAGTTATTGGATATTACCGGCAAGACCAATTTCTATAAACATGTTTCCTTTAGTGTCCGAATTTAGCAGTAATAACATACCTTGTCAGACACCAAATACACTTCACTGATTTTATTATCCCAATTCTTGTAAATTTGTTTGCGACTTGTGCTATTTTAATCAGAGCACATGTAATTTAACTCACAATAATTTATTGTTGTTTCAAAAAGTAAATAGGCACGTCCGATAAGCTCAAGCTTCTCTTTAGCAATGCCTACCTATTGCTGCATACTATAAATGGAGAGTGCCAAAATCGAACTCATGTACAGTGCCAATACATTACATACGTATGTGCATAGCTTAAAAGATAAGCGCGCTAGCTTTCGTTCAGATAACTGTATGATTGTATGACCATCTGCCAAGCAAGTGAGCTTAAGTCAAGGTTACCAAAGAGCACAGAACCAACGTTGCTCTTATCTCTCAATCTGGCAAAAATTAAGAGTTTGGATAAAATCAACCTTGTAGAAAATCAGCCACTACAACTTCCACTGAACCATGTATTAATCAACCTAGTTTGGTTTTGGATAACATCGGTCGTATTTCATCTCCATTGATGACAGCTCATGTGGTGATCTAGTTGCCGTGACGTTGTCCTGTTAGCAGCAATGGTGCTTGATTTTGTAACTTTTTAATGTCGACGAAGTTACGTGGCAAAGAATTAGACAGATTTTCGTAGTTGATTTGTTGTGAAGGAAGCTTTAAATCGTTTATTAGCCATACATAATTTAACTCGTGTATTGTGCCTCTGGTATCACTTAGCTTGATATTTGCTCGCTCTGCTGTTGACTCGTATCTATATAATCCTCCTGTCCAGCTAAAGCAATCGGGGCTCATTGATTCCTTTTGAATCAATTTCATGAGCCAGACTCACATCCATGATAGTGGATGTACTTTCTTCATATAAAAATGAAATTATCTGTTTGGAATATTTTTGCCATTACCGTCGCCTCGCTTGCCTGTTTGTGTAGCAGCTTGTTGTGAAATTTCTCGCAATTATCAATTTTGCAAGCCTCTCTTAGATTGCATTGACATTTATGAAATTTCAAACACCAATAGCACGCTTTATGGCGGTTTGCGAAATCCCAGCGTTTCTTTACAGTAGAGTTGAGAAAAACGTTGCATTTAATAAGGTCGTGTTAATCCTTGTAGCAAATAGAACAAGTTGCTCTAGCATTTGGCATTGGGTTGCCGGCCGTATCAACAATTTTGTTCGCTTTTTGTTGCTCTGCATACAATGTTACCGGGTTATTAATTGCTGACACCTTTTGGAAGAATGAAATGTCTTGAATAAGATCAGCCTGTTTCTGAGCGCCTTGGATAATCGATGTACGACTTATTCGTCAGGAAATCCACAGTTCCTGCTTGAAGTTTCAAATTGGTGTATGAAGTGCTTCCAGGCTAGCGCAGATGATCCGTCGAATTCCAAGTTTTCCGTCGAAAGCTTGTCGTGATAGCATTTTTGCCATTGTTTTTTGCATGGATTCGTCGTGTGGTGTTTCCGAATTGCGTTGCTGATGTACCAAATCGGACATTTGCCCGTTTAACATCGAGCGTGCGTGTTTTTCGTTGGACCGTGCAGAATTTGAAGAAGAACATTTTGTCAGTACAGCTTTGGTTTTCAAAACATTTCTCTTACTTACCTATGCTTCTTCTTCCGCTTGAAGAAGATCCAACTCACGCGTGCACCTATCGATTCCATTCTTAATTTTCGCTATACCTGTTTGTCGTTTGCAGTGACGTCACTATGTGCTTCTGCCTGTGCGTTTTGCAGTTGAGTGAGTTCCTTCTGCTTTTTGAATTTTTGGCGCTTTAAGTTTACATTTTCCGCATCTACATTTTCGAATTGTTCGTAGACCTCCAGTTTCAGCTTTTGACTCATCGTCGCTTTCGATGCTGCCAACAGTTTTTGTCGTACTTGCTTCGGCGCCAATGTCAAGAAATTCACAGACGCGCAATAGAGCGTTTTTGCCTAGTTCCTTGATAATTTCCAGCTCGTTAAATTAAATTTTTAAGCAACAACTTATGCGCAACTTGACCATAGTTACCAGAAGGGCCATACTCAAAATACTAAACAATAACGATAAATTTCTTAATACTAGCTTCATCAACTATTAACAAGTAAAAAAGCTAAAGTCGGGTGTCCCGACTTTGAAATACTCTGTACATATGTTTACAATAATTATAGAAAATAAATAAAATTAAGAAAATTAAAAAAAAAAATTTTTTGATCGATTTTACCTTTCTCGGTATTCGTACTCACGTAAAGGTGTATAATTGCACATATACAAAGCAATTGTGCCTGTGTGAGTGGATGTATGCCTATGCGCATCTATTCGTGTCTGTGTAAACATGTTAGCAGTCAACCAAACAGCAACATCAACAATAGCCGCGGGCAGCGCTGCAGCAGCAAATATATTTATGGCTATAACTTCTTGTTAAATCGGTCTATCATAATAACTAACTGGCGGTATTTGCAAAATTTGAGTTCGAAATTCCAAGAATTACGGGAGTTAGAGAAAATCGCGATTTGCTGGGGAGAGGGGGGAGGGAGGGAAATTCCAAAATATACATTTTCTGCGTATTCACACAAGGCATCTTGGACTAAAATTTGGTGTGCCTAGGTCTTATAGTCTCCGAGATATAGGCGATTATACGAATGGAAAATCGGGAAACCTTCATAGGGGGGAAGTGGGGGAGGAAAATCAAAAAAATAAAACAAACTCGTATAGAATACACACATAAGGCATCTTTGTGCAAAATTTGGTGTCTCTATCTCTTATAGTCTCTGAGATCCAGGTGTTCATACGGACGGACAGACAGACAGACAGGGCTAGATCGACTCGTCTCGTCATGCTGATCAAGAATATATATACTTTGTGGGGTCTGCCACGCCTCCTCCTGCCTGTTACATTTTTCAGCTCCCGCAAACCTAATATACTTCATGTACAGAGTATAAAAACTACTTAGCGTTTGGTTAATTCATAAGATACAAATGTTTTCTGCTGTTTTGTACTGAATTGATCTTACCGCACTTAATACCCTGAATATCGGCCATTATTATTGATGATTTTTTCGATTCCTGCAAACATAGAGAATAACAAGTAGTACATTTCATGTACAGAGTATAACAACTTCTGACAAATCTGCACTTGTTTATAGTTGGTAAAGCCTTTTATTAACACGCTTATTTTATTTCAATACAAATAAAAAGTTTCACAACCCACGCAGTACATTAATACTTGTATAATATTTATAGAATAATATTTTGGAATTTCGAAATAAAATTTGGTAATTAGTGATTATGTGTGCAACTGCACATTTACATAGAAATTGTGTCTATGTGTGCAGAGTTGAGCCAAATCTACAACAATAACACGTGTTCTGCGTGTTCATATAAGTCATTTTGAATTAAAATTTACTGTCTCTACTATCTATAGTCTCCGAGATACAGATGGTTTTATTTAGAAATTGTTTTATTGCATATTTTACTAATTCTGCAATTTTAATTTATAGACTGATGCGGGAGGAAGAATCGCTGGATAATATTAAACAATACTACGTCAAATGTAAAAACGAAGATGGAAAGTATACGGCTATACAGAATATTTATGGATGCATAAGTATTGGTCAAGCAATCATATTTTGCCATGTAAGTTATTTATTGATGAGTATTATTTCAAACCGATAATGTGTGTTCGAGAAAACGATTTGAGATGCCTACAATTAAATAGAAGTCTCACTCTATATTTGGAATTTGGTGATCGTTTTGCAGATTAGCGAAACCAAACGTAACCATTTTTTTTCTTATCGCGTCACATTTTTAGTAATTAATGAAGTTTCTCAGGTGGTGCCGTGCAAATTAACACAGTTACAATTTAAGTTTATATTTGAAAAAGGTAGGATACATCAGTTGAACAAGCGGGATTCTAGGTTGTTAACTTCTTTGTATCTGAAACAATTTGAACAATGCAACTAAAATTATTTCCATTTCTGTACAATTGATATTTCTTTCTAGACTCGTAAAACTGCAGCTTGGCTAGCAGCTAAAATGGCGTCTGATGGACACTCCGTTGCAGTGTTATCTGGTGATTTAACTGTGGAGCAAAGACTAGCTGTTTTGGATAGGTTTCGGTCAGGATTACAAAAAGTTCTGATAACAACTAACGTGTTATCCAGGGGTGATATAATGGATAAATAACTATAAAGTTTACATTACATTGCTCTTTTTTATTATCAGGTATTGATATAGAACAGGTTACTATTGTTGTTAATTTTGACTTGCCAGTTGATGTTCGTGGAAATGCTGATTGTGAGACTTACCTACACCGCATTGGTCGAACAGGACGTTTCGGTAAGTACGTTTTTTTTGCCGTAGTAGACCCAAAGTTAATGGATTGTTTATATGTACATATATGATCAGTATGATAGGAAGAATAGATGTGGATATTTTTATTTATCGAAAAGTACATAAAATTTATCACAAACTATATGACATTTTGTATATACAAGGTTTGTTCCAAAGTAAACAGGACTTTTTGAATCGACTGATGCGTTAGAATCTGCTATCTTTATCGATTGTCCAGTGATAATTTCATGACATTTCATCGATTGGAAGTGAAGTTATTGCGTTTTAAGTGTCAGTATGTTTGTGTTATCGGTGCGAAAATGAGCTTCGAACAAAGAGCCAACATTAAATTTTGTTTTAAAATTGGTAAAACTTTTACCGAAACGTTTCAATTGATGGAACAAGTTTATGGCGATGATTGCCTATCCCGTAGCAGAGTGCACGAGTGGTTTCAACGTTTTCAAAGTGGTCGTGAGGACATAAATGACGATCAACATGTGGGCCAATCAAAATTCGTGATCACCGAAAATTCCGTCGAAACTGTGCGTGAATTCATCAAAAATCAGCCGAAATCATCATTGAAATTGATAGAAATGGAATTGAACATCTCCAAAACATCGATTTATCGCATTTTGACCGAACATTTGGGCTTACGAGGTGTGTGCACGGTTTGTTCCGCACAAATTGACTGACGACCAAAAATTGCTCAGAATCGATCGACGCTTGTGACCGATTTTTTGACCAAAAATCACATTTTAACCATTAACCACTCGCCGTATTCACCTGATATGGCACCGTGCGACTTCTACCTTTTCGGAAAAATGCATTTGCCCATGAAAGGAAAGCGTTATGCAGACGTAGAGGCCATTTAAAAGGCTTGCACCGGCATACTGGCGGCCATACCGGCCAACGAGCTAAAACACTCGTTCGGCATGCTTTTGGATCGTGCAAAAAGCTGCATTGATGCAGAAGGAGACTATTTTGAATAAAATAAATTGATTTTGGCGAAAAAACCATTTGTTCTGTTTGTTTTTTTTTTTTTAAAGTCCTGTTTACTTGGAAAACACCTTGTAGATCTCATTAAAGTTATTGGTACAATGTTTTTAAGAAAATTTCCTACGTTATCTTTATCAAATTGACAAAATGTTTTATTATTTTGTAAATCAGGCCTTACCACATTCGGAGGCTTTATCACATCATTTAGTTGGCAGGTACAATAAAATTTATTTTTTTTAAAGGATTGTGGGAGAGGGACTAATTAACCCCTGTATAATTATTTGTGCAAAAACTGTTTTCTGTGTTTCTGATTGTAAAATAACGGTACTTTGTTTTTTGTTATGCAGTTTTTTTCTTTTAAGTATTTTGTACATATTTTAATTGAAATATTCCTCCATCCACCTCATTTGTGGTTCCGGTATTACTGATAAACCATAGAAGTCGAGAATTTGATTAAAAATAATTATGTGTGCAAAACGACTTATTTGCCTTCTGTTTGCGTTAAAGTAAACAAATAATTTTAATTTCCTTATGCAAGTACAACTATAGTAAAAAAGTGAGTAGGGGATCACGTAAAACTAAGGAAAATCGAGAGATTATTAATATTAGTTAATTTAATAGTAAGAAATGCCACGTGGAACGGAATTGTCGGATGAAGAGCGCGGTAGGATACGGGCAATGAGCGATGCTGGTATACAAATTGGACAAATAGTATCTGCCTTAAATCGGTATCGCAATACAGTAGCAAAATTTTCAAAAGATTCAGATAATTATGATGTTGCCAAGCGGAGTGGTTTAATTGCGGCCATAGATGAGCGGACTACAGGACATATCCGACAAAGATGCACGTATGGCATTCTTCAATAAGTACCGATTTTAGAAGGAAGAATTTAAGATGTCATTTTTAGCGATGAAAAAAAGTTAAACTTGGACGGTCCTGATGGTAACCACAAATATTGGAGGGATATTCGAAACCCAGGCAGACCTGCTACAAGCGCAACCATGGGGGAGCATCGCTAATGGTATGGGCTGCCTTTAGCTCAAAAAGCAAGTCCCAAATACGCTATGTCCCGAGTAAAATGAACGCCGAAAAGTATATAGAACTGTTGGATAGGGAGTTCATATCATTTGAGAGCAATTTCATTACGATCGGTGGATATTCTAGCAACACAACAGACCAGGAACATACCGTTGATACAGTGGCCAGTGTTGAGTCCAGCCCTGAATCCTATAGAGAATATGTAGGGCATACTTTCTGCTGAAATATTTATATATTCCAAGCAGTATGACACTCAAAAGCAGCTTCAAAATTCAATTATAGAAGAGTGGGCACAAATTGATGAATTCTATGCCATGGAGTGTGGTAAATGGTAAAGGAGCACAATGGTTATGTTATGTTATGTTTTGGCTTAAACGTCATTTTATACATTGCACATATGTATATTTATTTTACAGGGGTATAATATTCCAGTCAAGCTTACGCTTCTTCAACTCCTCTTTACTCAAATTAATTTGCTTATGATTTGTGAGACATAGTTTTTGAGCTGAAACTTTAAAGTCTTTTCCGGTCGGTTGATTTTAACAAGAACAACGACAGTTTAAGTGACTTTTTATACTCTGAAATGTAGAAGAGTATACTTGTATTAGGTTTGCGCGAGCTGAAAAATGTAACAGGCAGACCCCACATAGTATATATATTCTTGATCAGCATGATAAGACGAGTCGATCTCCCCCCCCCCCCCACTCCCCCAATAATGGGGGTTTTCCGTAACACCGTTCGTATAATTGCCTCGGAGACTATAAGACCTAGGAACACCTAATTTTAGTCTAAGATGCCTTTTGTGAATACGTAGAAAATGTGTATTTCGAAATTTCCCTCCCACCCCCCTTCCAATGTTCGCGAAGGACATAAAAATTGATTTCTCGTTTATTATTTCAGGAAAGTCCGGAATTGCAATTAATCTCATCGATAGCGAACGATCTATGGCAGTATGTCGAACTGTTGAAAAACACTTTAAAAAGGAAATCCAATATCTAAATACTGATAACGCTGACGATATTGAAAAGATAGGAAATTAATTTCATCGTTGTTATAATCAGTTCGATTACGCTTTTTCTAAATTTATTAAGTGAATAAAAATAGCCCTATACAAAATTGTAATATGTTATTTTATTGGCAATGGAGATAATTTTGAATGCTACAAACGCACATAACTGAAAGTAAAAGTTGTTGTAGATTTATAATCGGGCGTGCCACGGAAATCTCTTTCTCCCAAATTTCGCCCTAAAACCAAATCTTGGTGCCAGGGAAATTTTTTTAGATGTTTTCAAATCTCGTCTGTTTGGCCAGGAGTTTTGATTTTAAAAATCATAGCAATATAAAGTTTAGTTTTTATAAATAAACTGAAATTACTAAATGGCGACTTTAAACACTAGAACTTTGAACACAGCTTTCAAAACAACAAACAAACTTATAGAAATTTGTGTGTCGCCGAGTCGGCAGGTTTGTTTGTTAGCGAAAATGTGTGTTGGCGCAGATGCTGCTTTAGATTAAGATAGTTTAAGAGAATTATTTGAATTTTAGTTTAGGGCGAAAAGAGAGCGCGAGAGCGGCCGTTTGCGGACGTCGCCTCGCGCCCTTTTTTCGCCGCCTTAGGCTTAGTTTAGCATGTAAGCCTAATGTGAAGTCAGTTGAAAAACCGAACTAAATAGAAGCACAATCGCACAATCGTTTCGTCATTTTCGATATTAAAGTCAGAATTAAAAGCAAGCGTCCCATCTTTGTTTAAATAATTTATATAAACTCATATAAATTTTCAATGTGAGTGGTAATAAAACTGTCATTTAAAATGTACAATACGGAGCATCGAAACAAAATGTAAGTACATTTTTATAATTTCTGAATTCAAGTGGAAATCCTTTTTTTCAGGGGAACACATCGCCCGAACAAGACTCAATCTTCGTGCAGTTTATGGATATACGTGCGGCGATAGGGTGGCTGTTGCCGCTCTTGGGAGGCGCTTAAAGCAAATTTAAATGCAAATGGCCCTCCGTGAATAATTCAAGCTCCAACAAAAAATTTAAAAAACAGAGTATGCAGTTTTCTTTGTATTCTTTTATTGATTTCAGAAACCAAGTTTTATGCCGATCGGCTAAAAAATGCGGATTTTTCAAAAAAAACTTTGGAGCTCTTTTTTCCCCCCTTTGGAGCTCGAATTTTCCAAAATCCCTTCTTAGTGCACATCTACACCATGATAGGATACTTGAGCCCAAATTTCAGCATCCTAGCTTTTACCGTGTGGGCTGTGGGCTGTTGACGCTTTTTGCTTTTGTGCCCCAACATTTTTTTACAGGAAAACTCCCATATTTTAGGCCCAAAAAAAAAATAAAAAAACAATATCAAAAAACCAAGTATACAGTTTTTCTTGGAATTATTCTGTGAGTATACAAACTAAGTTTGAAGTTAATCAGATGAAAACTGTAGATTTTTCATACAAACGTTGGAGCCTGTTTTCCCCCTTTGGAGCTCGAGTTTTCCAAAATCCCTTAGTGGGCACCTAGACTATGAAAGGATACTTGAGTCCAAAATTTCAGCTTCCTAGCCTTTACCGTTTGGGGTGTGCGTTGATCACCAATCAGTCAGTCAGCCAGTCAGTCAGTCAGGACAAACTGTTTTATATATATATAGATGTATATCCTGGCGAATTGAAGATCTATATAATCCTCATTATGGAATTGAAGTCGCGCCAACGAAGATTAAAGCTGGGTGTTGAGCTGCGACTGGGACGGCAAGTGGTCGTCGACGGGTGACGTAATATGCTACTTTAAGCTTTAATTGTCCATTTCATCCCTGGCCATTCCATTGAAATACGAAACATCAACATCACAAGTTATTGGATATTACCGGCAAGACCAATTTCTATAAACATGTTTCCTTTAGTGTCCAAATTTAGCAGTAATAACATACCTTGTCAGACACCAAATACACTTCACTGATTTTATTATCCCAATTCTTGTAAATTTGTTTGCGACTTGTGCTATTTTAATCAGAGCACATGTAATTTAACTCACAATAATTTATTGTTGTTTCAAAAAGTAAATAGGCACGTCCGATAAGCTCAAGCTTCTCTTTAGCAATGCCTACCTATTGCTGCATACTATAAATGGAGAGTGCCAAAATCGAACTCATGTACAGTGCCAATACATTACATACGTATGTGCATAGCTTAAAAGATAAGCGCGCTAGCTTTCGTTCAGATAACTGTATGATCGTATGACCATCTGCCAAGCAAGTGAGCTTAAGTCAAGGTTACCTAAGAGCACAGAACCAACGTTGCTCTTATCTCTCAATCTGGCAAAAATTAAGAGTTTGGATAAAATCAACCTTGTAGAAAATCAGCCACTACAACTTCCACTGAACCATGTGTTACTCAACCTAGTTTGGTTTTGGATAACATCGGTCGTATTTCATCTCCATTGATGACAGCTCATGTGGTGATCTAGTTGGCGTGACGTTGTCCTGTTAGCAGCAATGGTGCTTGATTTTGTAACTTTTTAATGTCGACGAAGTTACGTGGCAAAGAATTAGACAGATTTTCGTAGTTGATGTGTTGTGAAGGAAGCTTTAAATCGTTTATTAGCCATACATAATTTAACTCGTGTATTGTGCCTCTGGTATCACTTAGCTTGATATTTGCTCGCTCTGCTGTTGACTCGTATCTATATAATCCTCCTGTCCAGCTAAAGCAATCGGGGCTCATTGATTCCTTTTAAATCAATTTCATGAACCAGACTCATATCCATGATAGTGGATAGTTTCTTCATATAAAAAGGAAATTATCTGTTTGGAATATTTTTGCCATTACCGTCGCCTCGCTTGCCTGTTTGTGTAGCAGCTTGTTGTGAAATTTCTCGCAATTATCAATTTTGCAAGCCTCTCTTAGATTGCATTGACATTTATGAAATTTCAAACACCAATAGCACGCTTTATGGCGGTTTGCGAAATCCCAGCGTTTCTTTACAGTAGAGTTGAGAAAAACGTTGCATTTAATGAGGTCGTGTTAATCCTTGTAGCAAATAGAACAAGTTGCTCTAGCATTTGGCATTGGGTTGCCGGCCGTATCAACAATTTTGTTCGCTTTTTGTTGCTCTGCATACAATGTTACCGGGTTATTAATTGCTGACACCTTTTGGAAGAATGAAATGTCTTGAATAAGATCAGCCTGTTTCTGAGCGCCTTGGATAATCGATGTACGACTTATTCGTCAGGAAATCCACAGTTCCTGCTTGAAGTTTCAAATTGGTGTATGAAGTGCTTCCAGGCTAGCGCAGATGATCCGTCGAATTCCAAGTTTTCCGTCGAAAGCTTGTCGTGATAGCATTTTTGCCATTGTTTTTTGCATGGATTCGTCGTGTGGTGTTTCCGAATTGCGTTGCTGATGTACCAAATCGGACATTTGCCCGTTTAACATCGAGCGTGCGTGTTTTTCGTTGGACCGTGCAGAATTTGAAGAAGAACATTTTGTCAGTACAGCTTTGGTTTTCAAAACATTTCTCTTACTTACCTATGCTTCTTCTTCCGCTTGAAGAAGATCCAACTCACGCGTGCACCTATCGATTCCATTCTTAATTTTCGCTATACCTTGTTTGTCGTTTGCAGTGACGTCACTATGTGCTTCTGCCAGTGCGTTTCTGCTTTTTGAATTTTTGGCGTTTTAAGTTTACATTTTCCGCATCTACATTTTCGAATTGTTCGTAGACCTCCAGTTTCAGCTTTTGACTCATCGTCGCTTTCGATGCTGCCAACTGATATAACTTCCACAATTTTGGCGGCCATGACCGTTTTTGTCGTACTTGCATCGACGCCAATGTCAAGAAATTCACAGACGCGCAATAGAGCGTTTTTGCCTAGTTCCTTGATAATTTCCAGCTCGTGCAATTAAATTTTTAAGCAACAACTTATGCGCAACTTGACCATAGTTACCAGAAGGGCCATACTCAAAATACTAAACAATAACGATAAATTTCTTAATACTAGCTTCATCAACTATTAACAATTAAAAAAGCTAAAGTCGGGTGTCCCGACTTTGAAATACTCTGTACATATGTTTACAATAATTATAGAAAATAAATAAAATTAAGAAAATTTAAAAAAAAAATTTTTTGATCGATTTTACCTTTCTCGGTATTTGTACTCACGTAATGGTGTATAATTGCACATATACAAAGCAATTGTGCCTGTGTGAGTGGATGTATGCCTATGCGCATCTATTCGTGTCTGTGTAAACATGTTAGCAGTCAACCAAACAGCAACATCAACAATAGCCGCGGGCAGCGCTGCAGCAGCAAGTATATTTATGGCTATAACTTCTTGTTAAATCGGTCTATCATAATAACTAACTGGGGGTATTTGCAAAATTTGAGTTCGAAATTCCAAGAATTACGGGAGTTAGAGAAAATCGCGATTTGCTGGGGAGAGGGGGGAGGGAGGGAAATTCCAAAATAAACATTTTCTGCGTATTCACACAAGGCATCTTGGACTAAAAGTTGGTGGCCCTGGGTCTTATAGTCTCCGAGATATAGGCGATTATACGAATGGAAAATCGGGAAAACCTTCATAGGGGGGAAGTGGGGGAGGAAAATCAAAAAAATAAAACAAACTCGTATAGAATACACACATAAGGCATCTTTGTGCAAAATTTGGTGTCTCTATCTCTTATAGTCTCTGAGATCCAGGTGTTCATACGGACGGACAGACAGACAGACAGGGCTAGATCGACTCGTCTCGTCATGCTGATCAAGAATATATATACTTTGTGGGGTCTGCCACGCCTCTTCCTGCCTGTTACATTTTTCAGCTCCCGCAAACCTAATATACTTCATGTACAGAGTATAAAAACTACTTAGCGTTTGGTTAATTCATAAGATACAAATGTTTTCTGCTGTTTTGTACTGAATTGATCTTGCCGCATTTAATACCCTGAATATCGGCCATTATTATTGATGATTTTTTCGATTCCTGCAAACATAGAGAATAACAAGTAGTACATTTCATGTACAACTTCTGACAAATCTGCACTTGTTTATAGTTGGTAAAGCCTTTTATTAACACGCTTATTTTATTTCAATACAAATAAAAAGTTTCACAACCCACGCAGTACATTAATACTTGTATAATATTTATAGAATAATATTTTGGAATTTCGAAATAAAATTTGGTAATTAGTGATTATGTGTGCAACTGCACATTTACATAGAAATTGTGTCTATGTGTGCAGAGTTGAGCCAAATCTACAACAATAACACGTGTTCTGCGTGTTCATATAAGTCATTTTGAATTAAAATTTACTGTCTCTACTCTGGTTTTATTTAGAAATTGTTTTATTGCATATTTTACTAATTCTGCAATTATAATTTATAGACTGATGCGGGAGGAAGAATCGCTGGATAATATTAAACAATACTACGTCAAATGTAAAAACGAAGATGGAAAGTATACGGCTATACAGAATATTTATGGATGCATAAGTATTGGTCAAACAATCATATTTTGCCATGTAAGTTCTTTATTGATGAGTATTATTTCAAACCGATAATGTGTGTTCGAGAAAACGATTTGAGACGCCTACAATTAAATAGAAGTCTTACTCTATATTTGGAATTTGGTGATCGTTTTGCAGATTAGCGAAACCAAACGAAACCATTTTTTTTCTTATCGCGTCACATTTTTAGTAATTTATGAAGTTTCTCAGGTGGTGCCGTGCAAATTGACACAGTTACAATTTAAGTTTATATTTGAAAAAGGTAGGATACATCAGTTGAACAAGCGGGATTCCAGGTTGTTAACTTCTTTGTATCTGAAACAATTTGAACAATGCAACTAAAATTATTTCCATTTCTGTACAATTGATATTTCTTTCTAGACTCGTAAAACTGCAGCTTGGCTAGCAGCTAAAATGGCGTCTGATGGACACTCCGTTGCAGTGTTATCTGGTGATTTAACTGTGGAGCAAAGACTAGCTGTTTTGGATAGGTTTCGGTCAGGATTAGAAAAAGTTCTGATAACAACTAACGTGTTATCCAGGGGTGATATAATGGATAAATAACTATAAAGTTTACAATACATTGCTCTTTTTTTATTATCAGGTATTGATATAGAACAGGTTACTATTGTTGTTAATTTTGACTTGCCAGTTGATGTTCGTGGAAATGCTGATTGTGAGACTTACCTACACCGCATTGGTCGAACAGGACGTTTCGGTAAGTACGTTTTTTTGCCGTAGTAGACCCAAAGTTAATGGATTGTTTATATGTACATATATGATCAGTATGATAGGAAGAATAGATGTGGATATTTTTATTTATCGAAAAGTACATAAAATTTATCACAAACTATATGACATTTTGTATATACAAGGTTTGTTCCAAAGTAAACAGGACTTTTTGAATCGACTGATGCGTTAGAATCTGCTATCTTTATCGATTGTCCAGTGATAATTTCATGACATTTCATCGATTGGAAGTGAAGTTATTGCGTTTTAAGTGTCAGTATGTTTTGTGTTATCGGTGCGAAAATGAGCTTCGAACAAAGAGCCAACATTAAATTTTGTTTTAAAATTGGTACAACTTTTACCGAAACGTTTCAATTGATGGAACAAGCTAATGGCGATGATTGCCTATCCCGTAGCAGAGTGCACGAGTGGTTTCAACGTTTTCAAAGTGGTCGTGAGGACATAAATGACGATCACATTGTGGGCCAATCAGAATTCGTGATCACCGAAAATTCCGTCGAAACTGTGCGTGAATTCATCAAAAATCAGCCGAAATCATCATTGAAATTGATAGAAATGGAATTGAACATCTCCAAAACATCGATTTATCGCATTTTGACCGAACATTTGGGCTTACGAAAGGTGTGTGCACGGTTTGTTCCGCACAAATTGACTGACGACCAAAAATTGCTCAGAATCGATCGACGCTTGTGACCGATTATTTGACCAAAAATCACATTTTAACCATTAACCACTCGCCGTATTCACCTGATATGGCACCGTGCGACTTCTACCTTTTCGGAAAAATGCATTTGCCCATGAAAGGAAAGCGTTATGCAGACGTAGAGGCCATTTAAAAGGCTTGCACCGGCATACTGGCGGCCATACCGGCCAACGAGCTAAAACACTCGTTCGGCATGCTTTTGGATCGTGCAAAAAGCTGCATTGATGCAGAAGGAGACTATTTTGAATAAAATAAATTGATTTTGCCGAAAAAACCATTTGTTCTGTTTGTTTTTTTTTTTTAAAGTCCTGTTTACTTGGAAAACACCTTGTAGATCTAATTAAAGTTATTGGTACAATTTTTTTAAGAAAATTTCCTACGTTATCTTTATCAAATTGACAAAATGTTTTATTATTTTGTAAATCAGGCCTTACCACATTCGGAGGCTTTATCACATCATTTAGTTGGCAGGTACAATAAAATTTATTTTTTTTAAAGGATTGTGGGAGAGGGACTAATTAACCCCTGTATAATTATTTGTGCAAAAACTGTTTTCTGTGTTTCTGATTGTAAAATAACGGTACTTTGTTTTTTGTTATGCAGTTTTTTTCTTTTAAGTATTTTGTACATATTTTAATTGAAATATTCCTCCATCCACCTCATTTGTGGTTCCGGTATTACTGATAAACCATAGAAGTCGAGAATTTGATTAAAAATAATTATATGTGCAAAACGACTTATTTGCCTTCTGTCTGCGTTAAAGTAAACAAATAATTTTAATTTCCTTATGCAAGTACAACTATAGTAAAAAAGTGAGTAGGGGATCACGTAAAACTAAGGAAAATCGAGAGATTATTAATATTAGTTAATTTAATAGTAAGAAATGCCACGTGGAACGGAATAGTCGGATGAAGAGCGCGGTAGGATACGGGCAATGAGCGATGCTGGTATACAAATTGGACAAATAGTATCTGCCATAAATCGGTATCGCAATACAGTAGCAAAATTTTCAAAAGATTCAGATAATTATGATGTTGCCAAGCGGAGTGGTTTAATTGCGGCCATAGATGAGCGGACTACAGGACATATCCGACAAAGATGCACGTATGGCATTCTTCAATAAGTACCGATTTTAGAAGGAAGAATTTAAGATGTCATTTTTAGCGATGAAAAAAAGTTAAACTTGGACGGTCCTGATGGTAACCACAAATATTGGAGGGATATTCGAAACCCAGGCAGACCTGCTACAAGCGCAACCATGGGGGAGCATCGCTAATGGTATGGGCTGCCTTTAGCTCAAAAAGCAAGTCCCAAATACGCTATGTCCCGAGTAAAATGAACGCCGAAAAGTATATAGAACTGTTGGATAGGGAGTTCATATCATTTGAGAGCAATTTCATGGCGATCGGTGGATATTCTAGCAACACAACAGACCAGGAACATACCGTTGATACAGTGGCCAGTGTTGAGTCCAGCCCTGAATCCTATAGAGAATATGTAGGGCATACTTTCTGCTGAAATATTTATATATTCCAAGCAGTATGACACTCAAAAGCAGCTTCAAAATTCAATTATAGAAGAGTGGGCACAAATTGATGAATTCTATGCCATGGAGTGTGGTAAATGGTAAAGGAGCACAATGGTTATGTTATGTTATGTTTTGGCTTAAACGTCATTTTATACATTGCACATATGTATATTTATTTTACAGGGGTAGAATATTCCAGTCAAGCTTACGCTTCTTCAACTCCTCTTTACTCAAATTAATTTGCTTATGATTTGTGAGACATAGTTTTTGAGCTGAAACTTTAAAGTCTTTTCCGGTCGGTTGATTTTAACAAGAACAACGACAGTTTAAGTGACTTTTTATACTCTGAAATGTAGAAGAGTATACTTGTATTAGGTTTGCGCGAGCTGAAAAATGTAACAGGCAGACCCCACTATATATACTAATATTCTTGATCAGCATGATAAGACGAGTCGATCTCTTTGAACACAGCTTTCAAAACAACAAACAAACTTATAGAAATTTGTGTGTCGCCGAGTCGGCAGGTTTGTTTGTTAGCGAAAATGTGAGTGGTAATAAAACTGTCATTTAAAATGTACAATACGGAGCATCGAAACAAAATGTAAGTACATTTTTATAATTTCTGAATTCAAGTGGAAATCCCTTTTTTCAGGGGAACACAGATCGCCCGAACAAGACTCAATCTTCGTGCAGTTTATGGATATACGTGCGGCGATAGGGTGGCTGTTGCCGCTCTTGGGAGGCGCTTAAAGCAAATTTAAATGCAAATGGCCCTCCGTGAATAATTCAAGCTCCAACAAAAAATTTAAAAAACAGAGTATGCAGTTTTCTTTGTATTCTTTTATTGATTTCAGAAACCAAGTTTTATGTCGATCGGCTAAAAAATGCGGATTTTTCCAAAAAACTTTGGAGCTCTTTTTTCCCCTTTGGAGCTCGAATTTTCCAAAATCCCTTCTTAGTCCGCATCTACACCCTGATAGGATACTTGAGCCCAAATTTTAGCTTTCTAGCTCTTATTGTTTGGGCTGTGGGCTGTTTCCTTTTTGCCCCAACATTTTTTTTACAGGAAAACTCCCATATTTTAGGCCTTAAAAAAAAATATCAAGAAACCAAGTATACAGTTTTTCTTGGAATTGTTCTGAGAGTATACAAACTAAGTTTAAAGTTAATCAGATGAAAACTGTAGATTTTTCATACAAACGATGGAGCCTGTTTTCCCCCTTTGGAGCTCGAGTTTTCCAAAATCCCTTCTTAGTGGGGACCTAGACTATGAAAAGATACTTGAGTCCAAATTTCAGCTTCCTAGCCTTTACCGTTTGGGCTGTGCGTTGATCACCAATCAGTCAGTCAGTCAGTCAGGACAAACTGTTTTATATATATATAGATGTATATCCTGGCGAATTGAAGATCTATATAATCCTCATAATGGAATTGAAGTCGCGCCAACGAAGATTAAAGCTGGGTGTTGAGCTGCGACTGGGACGGCAAGTGGTCGTCGACGGGTGACGTAATATGCTACTTTAAGCTTTAATTGTCCATTTCATCCCTGGCCATTCCATTAAAATACGAAACATCGTTGACTGGGCAAATGGCATTTACTGAATGCTGTCTGGGAAGATCCGAGTGCCTCCCAGTCGAATTAGGACTGGTCGTAGAAAGCTTTTGGATATTGCGTGGTTCACAAATTATATTCCACATTTAATTAGCAATAGTAGCTTTTAGGTTGTTGTGCTTTCCGAACCGTGTCTAGCACTTTTTCAAGGAATATCACCAATTTCAAGTTATTGGATATTACCGGCAAGACCAATTTTTATAAACATGTTTCCTTTAGTGTCCAAATTTAGCAGTGATAACATACCTTGTCAGACACCAAATACACTTCACTGATTTTATTATCCCAATTCTTGTAAATTTGATTGCGGCTTGTGCTATTTTAATCAGAGCACATGTAATTTAACTCACAATAATTTATTGTTGTTTCAAAAAGTAAATAGGCACGTCCGATAAGCTCAAGCTTCTCTTTAGCAATGCCTACCTATTGCTGCATACTATAAATGGAGAGTGCCAAAATCGAACTCATGTACAGTGCCAATACATTACATACGTATGTGCATAGCTTAAAAGATAAGCGCGCTAGCTTTCGTTCAGATAACTGTATGATCGTATGACCATCTGCCAAGCAAGTGAGCTTAAGTCAAGGTTACCTAAGAGCACAGAACCAACGTTGCTCTTATCTCTCAATCTGGCAAAAATTAAGAGTTTGGATAAAATCAACCTTGTAGAAAATCAGCCACTACAACTTCCACTGAACCATGTGTTACTCAACCTAGTTTGGTTTTGGATAACATCGGTCGTATTTCATCTCCATTGATGACAGCTCATGTGGTGATCTAGTTGGCGTGACGTTGTCCTGTTAGCAGCAATGGTGCTTGATTTTGTAACTTTTTAATGTCGACGAAGTTACGTGGCAAAGAATTAGACAGATTTTCGTAGTTGATTTGTTGTGAAGGAAGCTTTAAATCGTTTATTAGCCATACATAATTTAACTCGTGTATTGTGCCTCTGGTATCACTTAGCTTGATATTTGCTCGCTCTGCTGTTGACTCGTATCTATATAATCCTCCTGTCCAGCTAAAGCAATCGGGGCTCATTGATTCCTTTTAAATCAATTTCATGAGCCAGACTCATATCCATGATAGTGGATAGTTTCTTCATATAAAAAGGAAATTATCTGTTTGGAATATTTTTGCCATTACCGTCGCCTCGCTTGCCTGTTTGTGTAGCAGCTTGTTGTGAAATTTCTCGCAATTATCAATTTTGCAAGCCTCTCTTAGATTGCATTGACATTTATGAAATTTTAAACACCAATAGCACGCTTTTTGGCGGTTTGCGAAATCCCAGCGTTTCTTTACAGTAGAGTTGAGAAAAACGTTGCATTTAATGAGGTCGTGTTAATCCTTGTAGCAAATAGAACAAGTTGCTCTAGCCTTTGGCATTGGGTTGCCGGCCGTATCAACAATTTTGTTCGCTTTTTGTTGCTCTGCATACAATGTTACAGGGTTATTAATTGCTGACACCTTTTGGAAGAATGAAATGTCTTGAATAAGATCAGCCTGTTTCTGAGCGCCTTGGATAATCGATGTACGACTTATTCGTCAGGAAATCCACAGTTCCTGCTTGAAGTTTCAAATTGGTGTATGAAGTGCTTCCAGGCTAGCGCAGATGATCCGTCGAATTCCAAGTTTGCCGTCGTAAGCTTGTCGTGATAGCATATTTGCCATTGTTTTTTGCATGGATTCGTCGTGTGGTGTTTCCGAATTGCGTTGCTGATGTACCAAATCGGACATTTGCCCGTTTAACATCGAGCGTGCGTGTTTTTCGTTGGACCGTGCAGAATTTGAAGAAGAACATTTTGTCAGTACAGCTTTGGTTTTCAAAACATTTCTCTTACTTACCTATGCTTCTTCTTCCGCTTGAAGAAGATCCAACTCACGCGTGCACCTATCGATTCCATTTTTAATTTTCGCTATACCTTGTTTGTCGTTTGCAGTGACGTCACTATGTGCTTCTGCCAGTGCGTTTTGCAGTTGAGTGAGTTCCTTCTGCTTTTTGAATTTTTGGCGCTTTAAGTTTACATTTTCCGCATCTACATTTTCGAATTGTTCGTAGACCTCCAGTTTCAGCTTTTGACTCATCGTCGCTTTCGATGCTGCCAACAGTTGTTGTCGTACTTGCTTCGGCGCCAATGTCAAGAAATTCACAGACGCGCAATAGAGCGTTTTTGCCTAGTTCCTTGATAATTTCCAGCTCGTTAAATTAAATTTTTAAGCAACAACTTATGCGCAACTTGACCATAGTTACCAGAAGGGCCATACTCAAAATACTAAACAATAACGATAAATTTCTTAATACTAGCTTCATCAACTATTAACAATTAAAAAATCTAAAGTCGGGTGTCCCGACTTTGAAATACTCTGTACATATGTTTACAATAATTATAGAAAATAAATAAAATTAAGAAAATTAAAAAAAAAAATTTTTTGATCGATTTTACCTTTCTCGGTATTCGTACTCACGTAAAGGTGTATAATTGCACATATACAAAGCAATTGTGCCTGTGTGAGTGGATGTATGCCTATGCGCATCTATTCGTGTCTGTGTAAACATGTTAGCAGTCAACCAAACAGCAACATCAACAATAGCCGCGGGCAGCGCTGCAGCAGCAAATATATTTATGGCTATAACTTCTTGTTAAATCGGTCTATCATAATAACTAACTGGGGGTATTTGCAAAATTTGAGTTCGAAATTCCAAGAATTACGGGAGTTAGAGAAAATCGCGATTTGCTGGGGAGAGGGGGGAGGGAGGGAAATTCCAAAATAAACATTTTCTGCGTATTCACACAAGGCATCTTGGACTAAAAGTTGGTGGCCCTGGGTCTTATAGTCTCCGAGATATAGGCGATTATACGAATGGAAAATCGGGAAAACCTTCATAGGGGGGAAGTGGGGGAGGAAAATCAAAAAAATAAAACAAACTCGTATAGAATACACACATAAGGCATCTTTGTGCAAAATTTGGTGTCTCTATCTCTTATAGTCTCTGAGATCCAGGTGTTCATACGGACGGACAGACAGACAGACAGGGGTAGATCGACTCGTCTCGTCATGCTGATCAAGAATATATATACTTTGTGGGGTCTGCCACGCCTCTTCCTGCCTGTTACATTTTTCAGCTCCCGCAAACCTAATATACTTCATGTACAGAGTATAAAAACTACTTAGCGTTTGGTTAATTCATAAGATACAAATGTTTTCTGCTGTTTTGTACTGAATTGATCTTACCGCACTTAATACCCTGAATATCGGCCATTATTATTGATGATTTTTTCGATTCCTGCAAACATAGAGAATAACAAGTAGTACATTTCATGTACAGAGTATAACAACTTCTGACAAATCTGCACTTGTTTATAGTTGGTAAAGCCTTTTATTAACACGCTTATTTTATTTCAATACAAATAAAAAGTTTCACAACCCACGCAGTACATTAATACTTGTATAATATTTATAGAATAATATTTTGGAATTTCGAAATAAAATTTGGTAATTAGTGATTATGTGTGCAACTGCACATTTACATAGAAATTGTGTCTATGTGTGCAGAGTTGAGCCAAATCTACAACAATAACACGTGTTCTGCGTGTTCATATAAGTCATTTTGAATTAAAATTTACTGTCTCTACTCTGGTTTTATTTAGAAATTGTTTTATTGCATATTTTACTAATTCTGCAATTATAATTTATAGACTGATGCGGGAGGAAGAATCGCTGGATAATATTAAACAATACTACGTCAAATGTAAAAACGAAGATGGAAAGTATACGGCTATACAGAATATTTATGGATGCATAAGTATTGGTCAAACAATCATATTTTGCCATGTAAGTTCTTTATTGATGAGTATTATTTCAAACCGATAATGTGTGTTCGAGAAAACGATTTGAGACGCCTACAATTAAATAGAAGTCTTACTCTATATTTGGAATTTGGTGATCGTTTTGCAGATTAGCGAAACCAAACGAAACCATTTTTTTTCTTATCGCGTCACATTTTTAGTAATTTATGAAGTTTCTCAGGTGGTGCCGTGCAAATTGACACAGTTACAATTTAAGTTTATATTTGAAAAAGGTAGGATACATCAGTTGAACAAGCGGGATTCCAGGTTGTTAACTTCTTTGTATCTGAAACAATTTGAACAATGCAACTAAAATTATTTCCATTTCTGTACAATTGATATTTCTTTCTAGACTCGTAAAACTGCAGCTTGGCTAGCAGCTAAAATGGCGTCTGATGGACACTCCGTTGCAGTGTTATCTGGTGATTTAACTGTGGAGCAAAGACTAGCTGTTTTGGATAGGTTTCGGTCAGGATTAGAAAAAGTTCTGATAACAACTAACGTGTTATCCAGGGGTGATATAATGGATAAATAACTATAAAGTTTACAATACATTGCTCTTTTTTTATTATCAGGTATTGATATAGAACAGGTTACTATTGTTGTTAATTTTGACTTGCCAGTTGATGTTCGTGGAAATGCTGATTGTGAGACTTACCTACACCGCATTGGTCGAACAGGACGTTTCGGTAAGTACGTTTTTTTGCCGTAGTAGACCCAAAGTTAATGGATTGTTTATATGTACATATATGATCAGTATGATAGGAAGAATAGATGTGGATATTTTTATTTATCGAAAAGTACATAAAATTTATCACAAACTATATGACATTTTGTATATACAAGGTTTGTTCCAAAGTAAACAGGACTTTTTGAATCGACTGATGCGTTAGAATCTGCTATCTTTATCGATTGTCCAGTGATAATTTCATGACATTTCATCGATTGGAAGTGAAGTTATTGCGTTTTAAGTGTCAGTATGTTTTGTGTTATCGGTGCGAAAATGAGCTTCGAACAAAGAGCCAACATTAAATTTTGTTTTAAAATTGGTACAACTTTTACCGAAACGTTTCAATTGATGGAACAAGCTAATGGCGATGATTGCCTATCCCGTAGCAGAGTGCACGAGTGGTTTCAACGTTTTCAAAGTGGTCGTGAGGACATAAATGACGATCACATTGTGGGCCAATCAAAATTCGTGATCACCGAAAATTCCGTCGAAACTGTGCGTGAATTCATCAAAAATCAGCCGAAATCATCATTGAAATTGATAGAAATGGAATTGAACATCTCCAAAACATCGATTTATCGCATTTTGACCGAACATTTGGGCTTACGAAAGGTGTGTGCACGGTTTGTTCCGCACAAATTGACTGACGACCAAAAATTGCTCAGAATCGATCGACGCTTGTGACCGATTATTTGACCAAAAATCACATTTTAACCATTAACCACTCGCCGTATTCACCTGATATGGCACCGTGCGACTTCTACCTTTTCGGAAAAATGCATTTGCCCATGAAAGGAAAGCGTTATGCAGACGTAGAGGCCATTTAAAAGGCTTGCACCGGCATACTGGCGGCCATACCGGCCAACGAGCTAAAACACTCGTTCGGCATGCTTTTGGATCGTGCAAAAAGCTGCATTGATGCAGAAGGAGACTATTTTGAATAAAATAAATTGATTTTGCCGAAAAAACCATTTGTTCTGTTTGTTTTTTTTTTTTTAAAGTCCTGTTTACTTGGAAAACACCTTGTAGATCTAATTAAAGTTATTGGTACAATTTTTTTAAGAAAATTTCCTACGTTATCTTTATCAAATTGACAAAATGTTTTATTATTTTGTAAATCAGGCCTTACCACATTCGGAGGCTTTATCACATCATTTAGTTGGCAGGTACAATAAAATTTATTTTTTTTAAAGGATTGTGGGAGAGGGACTAATTAACCCCTGTATAATTATTTGTGCAAAAACTGTTTTCTGTGTTTCTGATTGTAAAATAACGGTACTTTGTTTTTTGTTATGCAGTTTTTTTCTTTTAAGTATTTTGTACATATTTTAATTGAAATATTCCTCCATCCACCTCATTTGTGGTTCCGGTATTACTGATAAACCATAGAAGTCGAGAATTTGATTAAAAATAATTATATGTGCAAAACGACTTATTTGCCTTCTGTCTGCGTTAAAGTAAACAAATAATTTTAATTTCCTTATGCAAGTACAACTATAGTAAAAAAGTGAGTAGGGGATCACGTAAAACTAAGGAAAATCGAGAGATTATTAATATTAGTTAATTTAATAGTAAGAAATGCCACGTGGAACGGAATAGTCGGATGAAGAGCGCGGTAGGATACGGGCAATGAGCGATGCTGGTATACAAATTGGACAAATAGTATCTGCCATAAATCGGTATCGCAATACAGTAGCAAAATTTTCAAAAGATTCAGATAATTATGATGTTGCCAAGCGGAGTGGTTTAATTGCGGCCATAGATGAGCGGACTACAGGACATATCCGACAAAGATGCACGTATGGCATTCTTCAATAAGTACCGATTTTAGAAGGAAGAATTTAAGATGTCATTTTTAGCGATGAAAAAAAGTTAAACTTGGACGGTCCTGATGGTAACCACAAATATTGGAGGGATATTCGAAACCCAGGCAGACCTGCTACAAGCGCAACCATGGGGGAGCATCGCTAATGGTATGGGCTGCCTTTAGCTCAAAAAGCAAGTCCCAAATACGCTATGTCCCGAGTAAAATGAACGCCGAAAAGTATATAGAACTGTTGGATAGGGAGTTCATATCATTTGAGAGCAATTTCATGGCGATCGGTGGATATTCTAGCAACACAACAGACCAGGAACATACCGTTGATACAGTGGCCAGTGTTGAGTCCAGCCCTGAATCCTATAGAGAATATGTAGGGCATACTTTCTGCTGAAATATTTATATATTCCAAGCAGTATGACACTCAAAAGCAGCTTCAAAATTCAATTATAGAAGAGTGGGCACAAATTGATGAATTCTATGCCATGGAGTGTGGTAAATGGTAAAGGAGCACAATGGTTATGTTATGTTATGTTTTGGCTTAAACGTCATTTTATACATTGCACATATGTATATTTATTTTACAGGGGTAGAATATTCCAGTCAAGCTTACGCTTCTTCAACTCCTCTTTACTCAAATTAATTTGCTTATGATTTGTGAGACATAGTTTTTGAGCTGAAACTTTAAAGTCTTTTCCGGTCGGTTGATTTTAACAAGAACAACGACAGTTTAAGTGACTTTTTATACTCTGAAATGTAGAAGAGTATACTTGTATTAGGTTTGCGCGAGCTGAAAAATGTAACAGGCAGACCCCACTATATATACTAATATTCTTGATCAGCATGATAAGACGAGTCGATCTCTTTGAACACAGCTTTCAAAACAACAAACAAACTTATAGAAATTTGTGTGTCGCCGAGTCGGCAGGTTTGTTTGTTAGCGAAAATGTGAGTGGTAATAAAACTGTCATTTAAAATGTACAATACGGAGCATCGAAACAAAATGTAAGTACATTTTTATAATTTCTGAATTCAAGTGGAAATCCCTTTTTTCAGGGGAACACAGATCGCCCGAACAAGACTCAATCTTCGTGCAGTTTATGGATATACGTGCGGCGATAGGGTGGCTGTTGCCGCTCTTGGGAGGCGCTTAAAGCAAATTTAAATGCAAATGGCCCTCCGTGAATAATTCAAGCTCCAACAAAAAATTTAAAAAACAGAGTATGCAGTTTTCTTTGTATTCTTTTATTGATTTCAGAAACCAAGTTTTATGTCGATCGGCTAAAAAATGCGGATTTTTCCAAAAAACTTTGGAGCTCTTTTTTCCCCTTTGGAGCTCGAATTTTCCAAAATCCCTTCTTAGTCCGCATCTACACCCTGATAGGATACTTGAGCCCAAATTTTAGCTTTCTAGCTCTTATTGTTTGGGCTGTGGGCTGTTTCCTTTTTGCCCCAACATTTTTTTTACAGGAAAACTCCCATATTTTAGGCCTTAAAAAAAAATATCAAGAAACCAAGTATACAGTTTTTCTTGGAATTGTTCTGAGAGTATACAAACTAAGTTTAAAGTTAATCAGATGAAAACTGTAGATTTTTCATACAAACGATGGAGCCTGTTTTCCCCCTTTGGAGCTCGAGTTTTCCAAAATCCCTTCTTAGTGGGGACCTAGACTATGAAAAGATACTTGAGTCCAAATTTCAGCTTCCTAGCCTTTACCGTTTGGGCTGTGCGTTGATCACCAATCAGTCAGTCAGTCAGTCAGGACAAACTGTTTTATATATATATAGATGTATATCCTGGCGAATTGAAGATCTATATAATCCTCATAATGGAATTGAAGTCGCGCCAACGAAGATTAAAGCTGGGTGTTGAGCTGCGACTGGGACGGCAAGTGGTCGTCGACGGGTGACGTAATATGCTACTTTAAGCTTTAATTGTCCATTTCATCCCTGGCCATTCCATTAAAATACGAAACATCGTTGACTGGGCAAATGGCATTTACTGAATGCTGTCTGGGAAGATCCGAGTGCCTCCCAGTCGAATTAGGACTGGTCGTAGAAAGCTTTTGGATATTGCGTGGTTCACAAATTATATTCCACATTTAATTAGCAATAGTAGCTTTTAGGTTGTTGTGCTTTCCGAACCGTGTCTAGCACTTTTTCAAGGAATATCACCAATTTCAAGTTATTGGATATTACCGGCAAGACCAATTTTTATAAACATGTTTCCTTTAGTGTCCAAATTTAGCAGTGATAACATACCTTGTCAGACACCAAATACACTTCACTGATTTTATTATCCCAATTCTTGTAAATTTGATTGCGGCTTGTGCTATTTTAATCAGAGCACATGTAATTTAACTCACAATAATTTATTGTTGTTTCAAAAAGTAAATAGGCACGTCCGATAAGCTCAAGCTTCTCTTTAGCAATGCCTACCTATTGCTGCATACTATAAATGGAGAGTGCCAAAATCGAACTCATGTACAGTGCCAATACATTACATACGTATGTGCATAGCTTAAAAGATAAGCGCGCTAGCTTTCGTTCAGATAACTGTATGATCGTATGACCATCTGCCAAGCAAGTGAGCTTAAGTCAAGGTTACCTAAGAGCACAGAACCAACGTTGCTCTTATCTCTCAATCTGGCAAAAATTAAGAGTTTGGATAAAATCAACCTTGTAGAAAATCAGCCACTACAACTTCCACTGAACCATGTGTTACTCAACCTAGTTTGGTTTTGGATAACATCGGTCGTATTTCATCTCCATTGATGACAGCTCATGTGGTGATCTAGTTGGCGTGACGTTGTCCTGTTAGCAGCAATGGTGCTTGATTTTGTAACTTTTTAATGTCGACGAAGTTACGTGGCAAAGAATTAGACAGATTTTCGTAGTTGATTTGTTGTGAAGGAAGCTTTAAATCGTTTATTAGCCATACATAATTTAACTCGTGTATTGTGCCTCTGGTATCACTTAGCTTGATATTTGCTCGCTCTGCTGTTGACTCGTATCTATATAATCCTCCTGTCCAGCTAAAGCAATCGGGGCTCATTGATTCCTTTTAAATCAATTTCATGAGCCAGACTCATATCCATGATAGTGGATAGTTTCTTCATATAAAAAGGAAATTATCTGTTTGGAATATTTTTGCCATTACCGTCGCCTCGCTTGCCTGTTTGTGTAGCAGCTTGTTGTGAAATTTCTCGCAATTATCAATTTTGCAAGCCTCTCTTAGATTGCATTGACATTTATGAAATTTTAAACACCAATAGCACGCTTTTTGGCGGTTTGCGAAATCCCAGCGTTTCTTTACAGTAGAGTTGAGAAAAACGTTGCATTTAATGAGGTCGTGTTAATCCTTGTAGCAAATAGAACAAGTTGCTCTAGCCTTTGGCATTGGGTTGCCGGCCGTATCAACAATTTTGTTCGCTTTTTGTTGCTCTGCATACAATGTTACAGGGTTATTAATTGCTGACACCTTTTGGAAGAATGAAATGTCTTGAATAAGATCAGCCTGTTTCTGAGCGCCTTGGATAATCGATGTACGACTTATTCGTCAGGAAATCCACAGTTCCTGCTTGAAGTTTCAAATTGGTGTATGAAGTGCTTCCAGGCTAGCGCAGATGATCCGTCGAATTCCAAGTTTGCCGTCGTAAGCTTGTCGTGATAGCATATTTGCCATTGTTTTTTGCATGGATTCGTCGTGTGGTGTTTCCGAATTGCGTTGCTGATGTACCAAATCGGACATTTGCCCGTTTAACATCGAGCGTGCGTGTTTTTCGTTGGACCGTGCAGAATTTGAAGAAGAACATTTTGTCAGTACAGCTTTGGTTTTCAAAACATTTCTCTTACTTACCTATGCTTCTTCTTCCGCTTGAAGAAGATCCAACTCACGCGTGCACCTATCGATTCCATTTTTAATTTTCGCTATACCTTGTTTGTCGTTTGCAGTGACGTCACTATGTGCTTCTGCCAGTGCGTTTTGCAGTTGAGTGAGTTCCTTCTGCTTTTTGAATTTTTGGCGCTTTAAGTTTACATTTTCCGCATCTACATTTTCGAATTGTTCGTAGACCTCCAGTTTCAGCTTTTGACTCATCGTCGCTTTCGATGCTGCCAACAGTTGTTGTCGTACTTGCTTCGGCGCCAATGTCAAGAAATTCACAGACGCGCAATAGAGCGTTTTTGCCTAGTTCCTTGATAATTTCCAGCTCGTTAAATTAAATTTTTAAGCAACAACTTATGCGCAACTTGACCATAGTTACCAGAAGGGCCATACTCAAAATACTAAACAATAACGATAAATTTCTTAATACTAGCTTCATCAACTATTAACAATTAAAAAATCTAAAGTCGGGTGTCCCGACTTTGAAATACTCTGTACATATGTTTACAATAATTATAGAAAATAAATAAAATTAAGAAAATTAAAAAAAAAAATTTTTTGATCGATTTTACCTTTCTCGGTATTCGTACTCACGTAAAGGTGTATAATTGCACATATACAAAGCAATTGTGCCTGTGTGAGTGGATGTATGCCTATGCGCATCTATTCGTGTCTGTGTAAACATGTTAGCAGTCAACCAAACAGCAACATCAACAATAGCCGCGGGCAGCGCTGCAGCAGCAAATATATTTATGGCTATAACTTCTTGTTAAATCGGTCTATCATAATAACTAACTGGGGGTATTTGCAAAATTTGAGTTCGAAATTCCAAGAATTACGGGAGTTAGAGAAAATCGCGATTTGCTGGGGAGAGGGGGGAGGGAGGGAAATTCCAAAATAAACATTTTCTGCGTATTCACACAAGGCATCTTGGACTAAAAGTTGGTGGCCCTGGGTCTTATAGTCTCCGAGATATAGGCGATTATACGAATGGAAAATCGGGAAAACCTTCATAGGGGGGAAGTGGGGGAGGAAAATCAAAAAAATAAAACAAACTCGTATAGAATACACACATAAGGCATCTTTGTGCAAAATTTGGTGTCTCTATCTCTTATAGTCTCTGAGATCCAGGTGTTCATACGGACGGACAGACAGACAGACAGGGGTAGATCGACTCGTCTCGTCATGCTGATCAAGAATATATATACTTTGTGGGGTCTGCCACGCCTCTTCCTGCCTGTTACATTTTTCAGCTCCCGCAAACCTAATATACTTCATGTACAGAGTATAAAAACTACTTAGCGTTTGGTTAATTCATAAGATACAAATGTTTTCTGCTGTTTTGTACTGAATTGATCTTACCGCACTTAATACCCTGAATATCGGCCATTATTATTGATGATTTTTTCGATTCCTGCAAACATAGAGAATAACAAGTAGTACATTTCATGTACAGAGTATAACAACTTCTGACAAATCTGCACTTGTTTATAGTTGGTAAAGCCTTTTATTAACACGCTTATTTTATTTCAATACAAATAAAAAGTTTCACAACCCACGCAGTACATTAATACTTGTATAATATTTATAGAATAATATTTTGGAATTTCGAAATAAAATTTGGTAATTAGTGATTATGTGTGCAACTGCACATTTACATAGAAATTGTGTCTATGTGTGCAGAGTTGAGCCAAATCTACAACAATAACACGTGTTCTGCGTTCATATAAGTCATTTTGAATTAAAATTTACTGTCTCTACTCTGGTTTTATTTAGAAATTGTTTTATTGCACATTTTACTAATTCTGCAATTATAATTTATAGACTGATGCGGGAGGAAGAATCGCTGGGTAATATTAAACAATACTACGTCAAATGTAAAAACGAAGATGGAAAGTATACGGCTATACAGAATATTTATGGATGCATAAGTATTGGTCAAACAATCATATTTTGCCATGTAAGTTCTTTATTGATGAGTATTATTTCAAACCGATAATGTGTGTTCGAGAAAACGATTTGAGACGCCTACAATTAAATAGAAGTCTTACTCTATATTTGGAATTTGGTGATCGTTTTGCAGATTAGCGAAACCAAACGAAACCATTTTTTTTCTTATCGCGTCACATTTTTAGTAATTTATGAAGTTTCTCAGGTGGTGCCGTGCAAATTGACACAGTTACAATTTAAGTTTATATTTGAAAAAGGTAGGATACATCAGTTGAACAAGCGGGATTCCAGGCTGTTAACTTCTTTGTATCTGAAACAATTTGAACAATGCAACTAAAATTATTTCCATTTCTGTACAATTGATATTTCTTTCTAGACTCGTAAAACTGCAGCTTGGCTCGTTGCAGTGTTATCTGGTGATTTAACTGTGGAGCAAAGACTAGCTGTTTTGGATAGGTTTCGGTCAGGATTAGAAAAAGTTCTGATAACAACTAACGTGTTATCCAGGGGTGATATAATGGATAAATAACTATAAAGTTTACAATACATTGCTCTTTTTTTATTATCAGGTATTGATATAGAACAGGTTACTATTGTTGTTAATTTTGACTTGCCAGTTGATGTTCGTGGAAATGCTGATTGTGAGACTTACCTACACCGCATTGGTCGAACAGGACGTTTCGGTAAGTACGTTTTTTTGCCGTAGTAGACCCAAAGTTAATGGATTGTTTATATGTACATATATGATCAGTATGATAGGAAGAATAGATGTGGATATTTTTATTTATCGAAAAGTACATAAAATTTATCACAAACTATATGACATTTTGTATATACAAGGTTTGTTCCAAAGTAAACAGGACTTTTTGAATCGACTGATGCGTTAGAATCTGCTATCTTTATCGATTGTCCAGTGATAATTTCATGACATTTCATCGATTGGAAGTGAAGTTATTGCGTTTTAAGTGTCAGTATGTTTTGTGTTATCGGTGCGAAAATGAGCTTCGAACAAAGAGCCAACATTAAATTTTGTTTTAAAATTGGTACAACTTTTACCGAAACGTTTCAATTGATGGAACAAGCTAATGGCGATGATTGCCTATCCCGTAGCAGAGTGCACGAGTGGTTTCAACGTTTTCAAAGTGGTCGTGAGGACATAAATGACGATCACATTGTGGGCCAATCAAAATTCGTGATCACCGAAAATTCCGTCGAAACTGTGCGTGAATTCATCAAAAATCAGCCGAAATCATCATTGAAATTGATAGAAATGGAATTGAACATCTCCAAAACATCGATTTATCGCATTTTGACCGAACATTTGGGCTTACGAAAGGTGTGTGCACGGTTTGTTCCGCACAAATTGACTGACGACCAAAAATTGCTCAGAATCGATCGACGCTTGTGACCGATTATTTGACCAAAAATCACATTTTAACCATTAACCACTCGCCGTATTCACCTGATATGGCACCGTGCGACTTCTACCTTTTCGGAAAAATGCATTTGCCCATGAAAGGAAAGCGTTATGCAGACGTAGAGGCCATTTAAAAGGCTTGCACCGGCATACTGGCGGCCATACCGGCCAACGAGCTAAAACACTCGTTCGGCATGCTTTTGGATCGTGCAAAAAGCTGCATTGATGCAGAAGGAGACTATTTTGAATAAAATAAATTGATTTTGCCGAAAAAACCATTTGTTCTGTTTGTTTTTTTTTTTTTAAAGTCCTGTTTACTTGGAAAACACCTTGTAGATCTAATTAAAGTTATTGGTACAATTTTTTTAAGAAAATTTCCTACGTTATCTTTATCAAATTGACAAAATGTTTTATTATTTTGTAAATCAGGCCTTACCACATTCAGAAGCTTTATCACATCATTTAGTTGGCAGGTACAATAAAATTTATTTTTTTTAATGGATTGTGGGAGAGGGACTAATATACCCCTGTATAATTATATGTGCAAAAACTGTTTTCTGTGTTTCTCATTGTAAAATAACGGTACTTTGTTTTTTGTTATGCAGTTTTTTTCTTTTAAGTATTTTGTACATATTTTAATTGAAATATTCCTCCATCCACCTCATTTGTGGTTCCGGTATTACTGATAAACCATAGAAGTCGAGAATTTGATTAAAAATAATTATATGTGCAAAACGACTTATTTGCCTTCTGTCTGCGTTAAAGTAAACAAATAATTTTAATTTCCTTATGCAAGTACAACTATAGTAAAAAAGTGAGTAGGGGATCACGTAAAACTAAGGAAAATCGAGAGATTATTAATATTAGTTAATTTAATAGTAAGAAATGCCACGTGGAACGGAATTGTTGGATGAAGAGCGCGGTAGGATACGGGCAATGAGCGATGCTGGTATACAAATTGGACAAATAGTATCTGCCATAAATCGGTATCGCAATACAGTAGCAAAATTTTCAAAAGATTCAGATAATTATGATGTTGCCAAGCGGAGTGGTTTAATTGCGGCCATAGATGAGCGGACTACAGGACATATCCGACAAAGATGCACGTATGGCATTCTTCAATAAGTACCGATTTTAGAAGGAAGAATTTAAGATGTCATTTTTAGCGATGAAAAAAAGTTAAACTTGGACGGTCCTGATGGTAACCACAAATATTGGAGGGATATTCGAAACCCAGGCAGACCTGCTACAAGCGCAACCATGGGGGAGCATCGCTAATGGTATGGGCTGCCTTTAGCCCGAGTAAAATGAACGCCGAAAAGTATATAGAACTGTTGGATAGGGAGTTCATATCATTTGAGAGCAATTTCATGGCGATCGGTGGATATTCTAGCAACACAACAGACCAGGAACATACCGTTGATACAGTGGCCAGTGTTGAGTCCAGCCCTGAATCCTATAGATAATATGTAGGGCATACTTTCTGCTGAAATATTTATATATTCCAAGCAGTATGACACTCAAAAGCAGCTTCAAAATTCAATTATAGAAGAGTGGGCACAAATTGATGAATTCTATGCCATGGAGTGTGGTAAATGGTAAAGGAGCACAATGGTTATGTTATGTTATGTTTTGGCTTAAACGTCATTTTATACATTGCACATATGTATATTTATTTTACAGGGGTAGAATATTCCAGTCAAGCTTACGCTTCTTCAATTCCTCTTTACTCAAATTAATTTGCTTATGATTTGTGAGACATAGTTTTTGAGCTGAAACTTTAAAGTCTTTTCCGGTCGGTTGATTTTAACAAGAACAACGACAGTTTAAGTGACTTTTTATACTCTGAAATGTAGAAGAGTATACTTGTATTAGGTTTGCGCGAGCTGAAAAATGTAACAGCCAGACCCCACATAGTATATATATTCTTGATCAGCATGATAAGACGAGTCGATATCAGTATGTCAAGCTGTTTGTGGCGCTCTCTTTGGGCATTCCTTTGCTTATGCCGGCCCGCTGACTTGTAGCGGCAGCAGGCAAATCACTTGCGAAGTAATTCTCGCACGTTGAACCTCGTTGTACAATTATCCAAGTCATTAAAGCAATATTAATAATTGAAGGAATACCGCGTCTCATTTAATAACTAGTCAAATATCGTTTGTTGCAATCGCTAAAAAGCTAGCGATTTTTCATTGGCGCCCGAGCAGGGACATCGGTTTTCATAAGATTATTTCCTCGTTTGTTTGCGGTCTTTGTGGCTTGGTTTTTGTGCGCGGTCGTGTGAAAACTACTCGTTTGTGTCGATTGGATACCATCCTGGTCGTCGCTCGGAATCCAGGGAAGTTTCGGTGGACTCCTTTGAGAGCTTACAGGTATTCTGTGCCAACAATTGAGCATAAAGCTCTAAGAAGTTTAATTGCTGCAAATTTGTGCAAGCGAAAGTTGTCTAAAACCTATTCACATACGTACATACATATGTATATATAGTACGTGTATGCTTATGCGGACTAATTTTTTGGCACATAAATTACTTTGCGCAACCACTTTACATGCACAAATACATAATCATACATACATATGCATGTACATACATACTCGCCAATAACCACATATTATATACATACATACCTTGCACAATTTAACACATTATACACCCTCATAAACATAATTATTAACAAAACCTCGAGGCAAAACAAACAACAATAATTAAAAAAGGGCTGTTAAGCTGATTTTTAACATAAAAAACAAATATTTTGAATTTATATTGGTTCTATTGTGTTTGTTTTTTGGTAAAGATTTGTTGCATCAGCTGCATACATAGAAACATAGCTTTTGTTGTTGCTTGCGCCGCTAGCGTAGCAAAAGAATTTTGTCGCTCTCTCCTTTGTGCGCGCCCTTTTTCGGCTACACTTGTCGCTGGGCCAACGAACTCCCCCCCGCTACCCGTTTGGATTAGCGTTGCCTACAAGCGTGCTTGCGGTAATCGACGCCTATTTTCTGAGTACAGCTGAGACTGCTTGCAGATTTCGTTGTTGTTTGTGCGGTCGCTTGGACTGCTACTTTGCTTGCGTGCATACTGTATTGAGTGCGTGTGTACGTAATCTGTGTGCATTTCAGTTGGTCTCTTGCTGTTTTAGCGCGTTGTTATTTGCGAGGGCTGTTAGGAAAGTTCGGTTTTCATTTTCGTTGATTTGCAACTTGTTTAGAGTTTATTTTGGTTATACTCTACCATGTTGGAATCTGAGAAGCAACAAGCAGTAGCTAAATCTAGTTCTAAACTAGTACAATGCTTGCAGAAATTTCGTTTGAACAAACAGAACTCGAGTGTCGTCTCGAGCTGTTAGAAGATTACATAAAGAAAGCTATGGCGCTTCAGGCAGATTTGGATAGTCTCAATCCAAGTAACGATAGTAGAGGGCCACTTGAGGATTTGTGCATTTCAACTAAGGCGTTGTATGTGAAGGCAACGAAACAAAAAGTTGAAAGTCAGACTTCTCATGACTGTTCTATGATGGCCAGTCAACGATCCCAGTTACCCAAAAGCCTCAAGTCTGTATACGACAACAAATGTTTGATATTTTTCGACACTATCTCGCAATTGTTTGACATCCCAAGTATGACCAAACCTAATGCGTCTACTTTGCGGTCCATCATTGACACTGTTTCTGCCATTTATGCGTCTTTAACTTCGTTGGGAAGTGAAAAGGACATTTCGAATGCAATGATCATACATATGGTTATGGCCAAAGTTGATCATGCAACCAAATCTCGTTTTGAGGAACAGCTCGATTATGACAAGTTGCCTTCTTGGGATGACTGCGCTGAGCAGTTAAACTGGCGTTACCAATATTTAGCGACTGAAGAGACAACTCGGGTTCCAAATAAACCGCGAGTAGAACCTGCAAGAAATAGTGAAGCTTCGTTTTCTTGCACAAAGGCTCCTTCAAAGCCTTCAAAACCGATTTCGAAGTGCACATATTGTGGTTCTGTGGATCACAATATTTATTCTTGTCCTTCCTTCGGTTCTATATCTGTTATGCAGCGATTTGAGTTCGCCAAGACTCAAAAAATGTGCCTCAATTGCTTGAATGTGGGTCATGTAGTCTCCAGTTGCAAGGCTTCCAAGTGTCGGGTGTGTTCAAAACCACACCATTCGTTGTTGCACAGATACTCTGTAGCTGTGCCAAATTCACCCGCTCCACACGCAGTCGCACCTCCAGAAGCGTACTTAGGTCACGTTTTAAGTGCCGATCAAGTAATTCTTGCCACAGCAGTCGTAAAAATTAAAGATAGATTCGGCCATTACCATCCTGCTCGTGTGTTACTTGATGGCGGCTCACAATTGAACCTCATGACTGAGAACCTTGCGCAGCGCCTTCGATTAAAGCGTAAAGACACATCTGTGAGTATTGTAATGGCAGGTGGAACCATTACTGGTAGTAGGCACAAGGTGTGCGCTGATATTCAATCTCGTTTGAATTCTCACAGCTTTGGCACTGATTTTTGGGTTCTTAAATCTATATCTACTTGTCAGCCTGGTAACTTTGTGCCCACATCGAATTGGAAAATACCCGCAAACCTTGAGTTGGCTGACCCAGAATTCTATAAGCCAGCTAAGGTTGATATTCTCCTAGGCGCTGAACTTTTTTACAAGTTATTATGCGTTGGGCAAATCGAGCTTAATTCCTGTCTTCCATTGTTGCAGAAGACATTGCTGGGATGGGTTGTTGCTGGAAGATATACAGGGCAAATACCTCCTCAACAATTCAGCGTTAACGTTGTCGCTCAAGTTAATGATTATTCTCTCGACACCTTAGTTCAACGCTTTTGGGAACTCGATCGGAGCCCAAATGAGTCGAAGGCTGTGCGCCAGACAGCTGAACAAAAGGCCTGTGAAGCTCACTTCACCAAATCAGTACAGCACCTGTCTACAGGACGTTTTCAAGTCGAACTTCCGTTCAAATCCGATCCCACTGTACTAGGGCTTTCCTTTCAAACTGCTGAAAGACGATTTCTGCAACTTGAGCGCAAACTCGCAAGAGACAAAACTCTCCATGACATGTACCATGACTTCATGAGAGAGTATCGTGATCTTGGGCATATGTCTGCTCTTGAATCTCCTCCTCCAGGACAGCACTACTATATTCCTCATCAGTGTGTCCTGAGACCTGAAAGCACCACAACCAAATTGCGGGTGGTGTTCGACGCTTCTAGTAAAACGTCAACGGCCCTATCATTAAATGACACTTTAATGGTTGGGCCGACTATTCAGAGGGAGCTTTATTCAACACTTGTAAATTTTCGGTTGAATAAATACGCAATTACTGCCGACATCTCCAAGATGTACAGGCAAATAAACGTGTCTGAAAAAGACAAAAATTACCAGCTCATTCTTTGGCGAGAAAGCGCCTCTCATGAGCTGCAGTCCTTTAAGTTGAACACTGTCACATACGGGACTGCATCAGCGCCATTTTTAGCTGTGCGCTCGTTGTTTGAATTGGCAAATATTTATGCTCGATGTCGGTTGGCAAAAATTCCTCGTGCTGAACCCTCCAAGAGGGTGCCGACTGGTAATGGCGCTACAAATTGTCCCGTACGTTGTCGGTTGACGGTGTCCAGCTAAGATCAGAGACCAGAGTCACACAACCTAACTCCTCAATAGTCACGTTGTCTGGCTATGATCCCTGATCATGGCTTCGAGGTGAGGGCTGGATCAAGGTGTCAAGCGACCCGTGCCGAAGATCAGCCTGGCTGGGGGCCCTCTTAAATAGCCCAGTCGCTCACGGAGCATCCGGGGTACCTGGCGACCCCTCGGATTATTTAGCCTAGCCCGGGTACGCGGATCTTTGCCCGGGTGGTCAAGCCCCTTCTCCGCCACTCGTGGGAACCCAAGAAAAATAAAACGAAATGAATACTTCAACGCCAAAAACGATAAATAAAAATAAACTGGAGACCGTCCCTCCACAAAGGCCGGAAGGAACTGGAAGTTCCGCAACAAGAGGAGCCGTGACGCATACACGCCCCACTGTTAACATGACGAAGCAGAACCAAAATGGCAAGCCTAGTCTCAAAGCTCAAACCTCCACCGCCTACCCAAAGGCCGGCCAGAGCATATCATCCATCAGTGAGCCCCCGGCTGCTGGTGCGCTTGCAAGGGTCGCGCCCGAGGGGAAAGCGTTGGTCGTAAAGAGAGCGACAAACGTGCCAAGGACAGATCCAGAGAAAGCTGGATACAGTGAGAGACGCGCTGCGGCTCGCATCCTCCGACGTCATGCCGACACGCCAATCGCGCCGGAGCATGCAACGAAGGAGGACTTCGAAAGAATCCAAGCGGATATTCGATGGGCGAAGCTGGTGTTACCCAACTTCGTGTACAAGTTAGAGGTCAGCAACTCCAAGAGACAGCGCTCAATAGACGAAGACCAACAGAAGGTGTCAAAAAGGCCGAAGTTGCAAGGCAAATCCTGGTCCAAGTCCTTGCGGAAGTGGCCAAGGACCTCAAGGTCGTAGGGGTCATCGACCGCAACAGTGACGAGGGAAGGATCCCTAGACATCAATGGCGGTGGATTCAGGTTGCAATAGCCACGGTCGCAGTGGAGGTGTTGAAAGACAACCCTGGCGAACCACCACAGTGTACTGACGCCGGGTGGTATCAAGGAGGCGTTAAGCTCATAGCATGCGACGATGAAAGGTCGGCTGAGCTTTATAAGCAAGCCATCAGTAGGGTGGGAGAGGTTTATCCGGGAGCACAGCTTGCTGTGGTCGACGCAAAGGACATACCATCTCGCCCGAGGGCCAGAGCCTGGATCCCGGCCAAGCCCGCAGAACCGGAAAAGATTCTGGAACTCATTCAGCTCTTCAATACCAAGATTAACACTCAAGGCTGAAAGGTATTAAAAACAGAGGCGACAAAAAGAGCATCTATGCAGGTCGTCCTCATGCTAAACAACGAATGCGTAGAGCAGCTGAATGCGGCAGAAGGCCGACTAAACTACGGCTTTGACAAAATAAAGCTTAACATATACAAGGCGGATATGGGATCACTATGTAATCTCGCCGAAAACGCAAACACGATAGAGCCGCCCAGCGAGGACGAGATGGAAGTCGATGTAGATGAACCCTCCGGGGATCTACAGGACGAGATCTCGACCGACTCCGACTACGGAGATGTGTTGGGCCGGTTCTATACCGAGCGTGAGCTTCTAGAAGACAATAGTGGAGAAGCCGACGCGACACTCACGGAGGAGAGGGCGGACAAGTCTGATGATGCAGGTCCTCCAGATAAACCTGCATCACAGTAAAGTGGCAACAGCTGCTTTAATGGTTCGTCTGGCAGCAGGCGAGGCGGACCTAGTCCTGATCCAAGAGCCCTGGATAAACAACAACGCAATCCGGGGTCTTGGCTCACCAAATTTTACCCTGTTCTATGGAAGCGGTAAGCGTAAATTGAGAACATGTATTCTAGCTAAGAAACAATTAAACGCCATTCTACTCCCCCAATTCAGCGATGATGACCTAACCACCATCAGTCTACGACTGGGGGTCAGAAATGGAGAGGTAAATACCACTGTAGTGTGCACACATAAGGAATACACACTGTAACACTTTGTTGCAATGTTTATACAAACTCAAGAGCTAAGCATAATCCATACGCGACGTAATATGATCGCGTATGCATTGGGCGACATAAGCGCAGCGTCAGTGCAAATAGTGTCAGCCACCTCAAGTGCACATAACATACTCTCTCGCGCTCTCGCTGCCAACAGCGCTGAGTACATAAGCTAGTATATAATGCAGCCGCTCCGCTGCCGGCGTATCGGGCAGTGCAGCTACGCGGCCTTAGCTTAGTTTACTTTAAGTAAAAATGTAAACGAATAGTTAAAGTTTGAATAAAGAATTGAACACATCAACGCCTCGGGATTATCAATGCCAACTTTGGCACGGGACGGACAATTGGGGTCGTCCCGCTTACCGAGGACTAGTGCTATCGCAACATGGCGACCATGACAGTGATCCTGGAGGATCAAGGACCAATCTAATTTGAAAAGATCAACAAGTGCGAAGGGCATAGGACCGCCTTTCGCACCAACGTTGGAATACAAGCCACAAAATCAACAAGCGCGAGGGGCACACCGCCACTCGCGCCATCGATGGAGCATCAGCGTGCCAGGAGTCGGCGACGTCCAGCTGATGCGGACGCCACAAGACGACAATCCAAAAAGGGACACCAGAGGAAAATTTAATGAAAAAAATTAATTAATACACAAATATAATTATTGTAAATCATATACGCAAAAAAAAAGGCGTACAAAAAGTTGCGATTATATGCCTGTGGTATACCAAATATATACCAAATTTTTGAATTTTGATCGAATAATTTTGGTGGCGCAGATGTTCCACAACTTTGCCTCGCGTTGTTTTCTGCATGAAAAGATATAATCATGGCAGGCCTATTGGCTACATTGGCCACATATGAATGTTGTATCAGGCTATAAATATTTGGCTGAAGTTAAAGACAGTACTTGCCTTTATCGGATTTTTATTTCAAAGAGCAGAATATAACGTATTATAATTGAATTTATTTTGACAAATTTGCTAAGTGAAGTTATGTCACATATTATAAAAAAAAATATAAGAACTAAATAACTGATGAGTTATCAAGAATAACCATAAAAGAATAAAAATAAAAAAAAAAAATAAAATTGCAAAAAGGGAAAAGTATGCAAGATGGCAAGGTAGACAAAAATCCTGCGCAGGAAAAGAAAAATGGAAATTGCCTAAGCAATCCATAAAATAAAAGTTTCAAAGCCCAACGTATACGACAACGTATACGTCAAGTAATATGATGTTGGCGATTTATATATGTACCAATGGAATTCTCGACTTAGGTCAGTTTTTCCAAAGGCTTGAAAGGCAAGCCGGTATATACAGAATCGACCACACTCAAAGAGGTACCGTGGAAAAAGATCTTTGAATTAGTTCAATAGATACTTTAAAAATATGGGCAATAAAGAATAAATTTAATAAGAGTAGCGCTACTCGACCCGGTGACCCAAGTAAAAATAAAAGAAGAAGCTATTTTGTCTGCATAGATTGTCTGTATATGAATTAGTGCATTTTTGAATGGCATTTTCAGTTGTACCTTTGCAAAGTACTTACGATTAAAGGACGAGTTAACTAAAAGGAGTCTCTACGGACGATACGTTCATGACCCTGTTCATTGGCATTCTCAAAATGCTGGGTCAGCAATCGCCAATCGTCAGTGGTTAGCTTTTACACAAATATATTTTTGAATGTTCTACTCTGAAGTACGGTCCTGTGAAGACGTTCATTATGGACTTGGAAACAGAAAATAGGATTCTCTAATTATTAATTTGTGCGAAAAAAAAAAAAAAAAATGGTTAGAGCAGTACCTTATCGCTCTAGGCTAGATTAATTGTTACAGGTATATGGTCGCAAAACGCAAAACGCAAACTCAAAACGCAAAACACAAAAAAAAAAAAACAAACAGTACATAAGGATAGGTTAAAGATTTTTAATTCGTAACTTGAAGTATGGCCATACACAAGCATAAATATATATAAATATCAATAAATAAAAAAAAAAAAAAAATGTTCATCAATTTTCTATGATTACATAAAAAAAAAAAATAATAATAATAGTAAAAAAAAAAAAAATTATATATATAACTAGATATACATGAAATTAATAGATAAACAATTTAGAAAATAACTTCATAATATTACGTTATTTTTCAAAAGGAGGGAGATGTAGTGTGCACACATAAGGAATACACACTGTAACACTTTGTTGCAATGTTTATACAAACTCAAGAGCTAAGCATAATCCATACGCGACGTAATATGATCGCGTATGCATTGGGCGACATAAGCGCAGCGTCAGTGCAATTAGTGTCAGCCACCTCAAGTGCACATAACATACTCTCTCGCGCTCTCGCTGCCAACAGCGCTGAGTACATAAGCTAGTATATAATGCAGCCGCTCCGCTGCCGGCGTATCGGGCAGTGCAGCTACGCGGCCTTAGCTTAGTTTACTTTAAGTAAAAATGTAAACGAACAGTTAAAGTTTGAATAAAGAATTGAACACATCAACGCCTCGGGATTATCAATGCCAACTTTGGCACGGGACGGACAATTGGGGCCGTCCCGCTTACCGAGGACTAGTGCTATCACAACACCACCATTAGAATGGCTTCTTTCTACATGGCCCATGATCAAGATGGTGCCCCCCCCCCCTCGCAGCTGTTGAGAGCCCTAGTCGGCAATAGCGGCGATAACAAAATAGGCACGATCCTAGGTGGAGACGCCAATGCTCACCATACTCAATGGGGCAGCAGTGACATCAATGATAGAGGTGAGTCAGTATACGACTATATAATGAGTAGCAACCTTCTAGTCTGTAACATAGGGAGCGACCCCACATTTGTAACAAAAAACCGCAGCGAGGTGTTAGACGTCACACTGGCGTCTGATTTTCTCGCACGCAGAGTCCTTGCCTGGAGGGTCCTTAATGATCACTCATTCTCAGACCACAGGCTCATACACTTCAGGCTGGGGTACCACACCCCTGCCGCCATTAAGAACTTCAATCTGAAAAAAACCAACTGGGGGTATTATTTGAGATTGCTTATCAGAAAACTACCCCCCCTTCAAAGCTCTGAACCCAATACGGGAGAGAAATTGGACAAGTTGGTGGATACCTTCACAAAAACCTGCTCGGGTGCGATAAAGAAAGCCTGCCCAAGTACAGTTTATAAAGAAAAATGCAAACCGCCCTGGTGGTCTACTGAATTGGATGGTCTTCGGGTCGAATGTAGAAGACAATTCAACGAGGCACGAAGAAGTAGCACAGAGCCCAGTTGGGTACTGTATAAGCGCAAACTTGCCACCTTCAAGTCGGCCATCAGAAGAGCCAAGCGCACCTCTTGGGCCAACTTCTGCTCAAGCATTGAGTCAACGTCTGCAGCATCGAGGCTCAGAAAAGTGCTGGCCAAATCATCCTCTCCACCAACTCTTCTGCAAGGGGAAGACGGCTGGATGGACTCCTGCAGAGACTCTCTAGATCTGCTCACTAATACACATTTCCCGGGCTGTACCGACAGTAGTAGTACACCCCTTATCCCCCACGTAACGGGGGTACCCAGCCATTTGAGAGAAGATATCATTACCGAAGAACGCATCTGCTGGGCTGTTAAGACTTTTCAGCCCTACAAATCTCCTGGACCGGACGGCATCGTCCCGGCCCAACTCCAACATTCTCTGCGACACGTTATGCCCTGGATTCGGACAATTTTTTAGAATTTGTTTAAGAGTCAACCACATTCCGGCAAGCTGGAGAGAGGTAATGGTCGTGTTTATCCCCAAGGCCGGGAAACCGTCTCACGTTACGCCGAAAGACTTCAGGCCTATCAGCCTATCCTCGTTTCTACTTAAAACCTTGGAAAGGCTAATAGAAACATACCTTAGACAGTCTATCAACCCGGATCTGCTGTCGAACTCACAACACGTATACAGTAAGGGCAGGTCAACTGACACTGCCCTTCACTCCCTGGTCTCTAGAATAGAGAACTCACTCCACGTTAAGGAGTACCCACTGGTAGCCTTCTTGGACATTGAGGGCGCCTTCAACAATATATTACCGTCGGCAATCACCCAGTCGTTGACGGACCTTGGGGTAGATGTCTCCCTGGTAGGCTTCATCACTCAGTTGCTCACTAGCAGGGCTGTAAGTGCCGAACTAGGGGGACAAACCTGCCGCAAGTTCGTTAGCAGGGGCACCCCACAGGGTGGAGTTCTGCCTCCGCTACTGTGGCTGCTGATGGTGAACCAGCTGCTACGACGCATGGAGGTGGAAGGCCATGCAGTCATAGCCTACGCAGACGACGTATCAATAATCTGCATTGGTAAATACCCACAGACTCTCTGTCACCTCATGAGGACGGCGCTATTGACGCTCTCGCAATGGGCGTCCACATGCGGCCTAGGAGTAAATCCTACAAAAACTGAGCTAGTACTTTTCACAAGAAAGTACAAGATTCCGGAACTCCAGCCGCCCACACTAAAAGGAGTTCCTCTTAAATTCAGCCACAGTGCCAAGTACTTGGGAGTCATCCTGGACAGGAAACTGCACTGGAGTGACAACACAATAGAGCGGGTGAAGAAAGCCACAAATGCACTCTACATCTGCAAGAGAGCCATAACCACCAGATGGGGGTTCTCACCAAATATTGTACACTGGATATATACGGCCATCGTTAGACCGATTCTTCTGTACGGAATCGTAGTATGGTGGCCTGCGATGGACAAATCAACTGTTCTCACCCAACTCAGTAGGGTGCAGAGATCGGCAGAATTATGCATTAGCGGGGCACTTCGTTCTACACCAACGGAGGCTCTTAATATATTCTTTCATCTTCTCCCACTAGACATAGTCGGAAAGGAACTTGCTACAAACTCAGCCCTAAGGCTAAGAGAGGCCTCTGCCTGGAAAAGCACGTCAAAAGGACATGCAGGCATACTCCTTCTTCAACCCGGGGTTCCGACCCATACGGATTACTGTGTACCAAAACTTATTTTTGATAAGAAATATACAGTCAGGATTCCCATTCGTGCAGAGTGGGATAGCCTACCACACAGAAGAAACGACGCCATAAACTTTTTCACGGATGGCTCTAAACTGGAACAGAGAGTCGGAGGTGGCATATTTTCTCCGGACCTGGAGATACGACGGTCATTTCGTCTCCCTGATCATTGCAGCGTCTACCAGGCGGAAGTGGCTGCGATACAAGAGGTCACAAGGCACCTATCCCCTGATATGGAAGGCGGTAGACCAATATATATATATTCAGATAGCCAAGCGGCACTAAAAGCGTTAGACTCCAATGTGGACAA